CGTATAGCCAAACAGTGCGGCCACTCATCTCAACAATCATTTTAAAGAATAGCGACAACGGGCTTATGTTGGTCAGATGCAGAGGTCGAGTATTAACTCAAAATTTAGATAAATGTAAATATTCGGCTGGATAAAACCCACAAGAACTCAGAGGCTTTTGGAAATATCCGCGATTATCCAGTATTACAACATGATGACGCATGTTCAAGAGGTACCATGGATCATGCTCACAAATTTGAGTGCAGGCCAGAGGGGGACTGGGGAGGGGGCACAATCAGGCTTTCAGCACAGTATGGGGCCTTGGCCTAGTGCGAGTGCATCCTTAGAGTGATGTTGACTTCTCGCCTTTAATCAGAATTACAATATTAAGCCCTACAGCCATGATACTCTTTTTGTATAAAGGCATATCATGAAGTGTGTACAGCCATTTTTCCTGGAGCCAGGATCATCGGTGTACTGTGGAGCCCAGGGCCAAACATAGGAAATATCTTCTCATCAAACTTATGAGTTAAAGTGACCAGGTGCTTTGCTGTTACCCCATCAAAAAATGACACCTCTCCTTTATCAATATTAAGCTTAACTCTGATCACTTCAAGACGCTGCTGCACCTCTAGTTTTGTACGCTCAGGTGTTAAGGCAGTGTACACCCCTTCCCTCAGTGCTATTAACCACACGCCGCGATTTGTAGAGACTGTGAACTTCTTTTTACGAGCCACTGACTCTTTGCACACTCCCACAACCCACTTTGGGCAGTCACCAACAATGACGTCCCATCTGTGTTTCCCTGAGGTGTAACCTTCAACACCCAGGACAAAGACGCAGGAATCAAAGCGCTCCGGGTTGTCAGGGGTGGTCAGCCGCTCTTGGCTCTCCTTCACACTGGTCAGGTCTGCATTCAAAGACAGCCACGGAGAGGCTGTGTTTGGGTTCAAAACCACAGGATCTGCACACAGGAGGAGACAGGATGCGGCTAATTCCATGTTGCAAACAATGATTACACGGACAAGAATGCTGGCATTTGTGATAACATTCAAGTAACTGTTCCCCAAAACCCAAAAGAGGTCAAACTGAAGTAAAGTCTCCCAGTCATTAACACCTCATTCCTCACTCCCACAGTGTAATTTACTCACTGTATTTGACATGGTCCTGCATGTTTTTCCAGATTTTGAAGCTCAAAGCGCCAACATGCTTGCCAATATTCAAAAGACAGTCTTCACCAAGGCGACGGTCTTCACCATCCCACTGGGTTCTAAAGCAAAGATGGCAAAATGGGATTAGTAGGAGACATTAAATTCACCCAAAAATGTATAAAATTTCATGAAAAGTAAATGGTAAAATATACTTCCCAGTTTACTTTACAGTTGATGTTAACCTTTATATTATCTAGCACACGATACGTGTTATGCCTGCAGTAAGATTTACCATTACTTACTTTCTCTTTAAATTTTGGAAATTCTGAAACACAAAAGAGAACAACCAAGATCAGTTCAACCTCAAAGACAAAACTCATTCTCGGTACTGTGTGGATGCGCCGCGTTCTCTTACCTGCAGGAGGGGAAGATCCTCATTTCCCATCTCTTTCTTCAAAGAGTCAATGAGCTCTTTCAGGGCAACAATGTCTCTTTTTGTTTTGTCATTCAGTTCCTGTAAGGCAGCAATCTTCTCCTCCTCCTCAGAAGCAAGGGCTTTCAGACGCAGAGCTTCCTCTCTGACAAGCACCTGTCGGAGCCTCTCAAACTCTGCCTTGATCTGCTCCTCCGCCTGCCCAGCTTGTTGCTAAAAGAGGAGAGTGTACATATTGATTATATAGGCATGAGATATAGTGTGTTGTGTGACTCTTTAAAGGTGTAGCAGTTCCTGTTGAAGGAATAACACAGTGACAGTCATGGCAATAACTTTACCCTGATGTATTCCACTGCAGTGCTGATTTTATGTGTTGTTTTCTTGTATGATTCCACTTTCTTTTCAAAAATCCGGACTTTGAACCCCAGCTCCTTCTGCAGGAGACAAAAAACAGAGCAAGAGGTAACCATAAGCAAAGAATGTCAAGGAAAAGAAAACATTTTAAGGTAGGTGCCTGGTTACTATAACATGAATTCACACTGGGGTAGATCATTTCTTGTCATATTATAGTGGTGGGCTGAAGGTCATCATAAGTGACCACAAATACTTGATTTCAAGTAAGGCAAGGGATAAAGGTGCATAAAAGACTCCAGTCCAAAGGCGTTCTTGGCATGAGTTTGTAGGGAAGAGGGTTGGCAGATGAAAAGTCTGATAGAAATAAAGAAATACAATCTTTTAATATTGTCATCAATGTAACCTGTAGGGGTGGGAATCACAGGGCAACTCACAATATGATCTGATACAATATGTGATAGGTGGATTACAAGTAGGCCTATGTTAATATCATAATGCAGCAATTCTGCAGTAATTGATATACTGCATGCAATCACATGCTAATACATTTTCATAACTGAAACAATGTAAAATGCCTCTAATAAAGGTTAAGTGAAGGATTAATGTGTTTTTTTTTTTTTTTACTGCAATTTGGTGTCTGTTTCACCTCTCATTATACTTTTGTATTTAATCTCTTCTACCACTGTCTCTTTAATCTTGTATCCCGTGTCCATTAACGTTCAAGTTAGAAATTCATGTCATAAGCGCCATGAAGAGCCATGAGAGAGTGCTGCTTTTTTAAATTAAAATCTCGATATTAGGCACCAACCAGTCGAGGAATGTATCACACGAGTCGGGACGATGATATATGGCTGTGGTAAATTGGAATTTTCTGTTAAGAGGATTCGGCAGAGGTCTTGTGTTTAGCACAGCGGTGGAAAGGCATTTTTGTATAAACTACAGCAAAAAACTGATAGACCACAGCATTGGATTTAGACATCATCATCAGCAACTAAGTAATGCATGTTTTAAAAATATAGAGTGTAATGAATAAGTCAGTTATAGTATAACTGTGGAGGAAAATTGTGTAACTACAGGAATTTGTAGCCTCACTGTGTAGTCCGAGTCTTTTGTTTTGGTTCACAGATCAAATCAAGTTTTTCTTTTATTTCCAGCGTTAGCATTTATTCTGAAAGGAATACATTCCCCCCCCCCCCAGGTGAAAACACTTTACCTTAGATATTAGTGCTCCATCTCTGATTGACCACAGTCTGTGTGTACTATGTAGAGACACACAGTCCACACACACTGGCTCCTCGTCCTTCTCGCAGTAGAGCTCCAGAGGCTTCAGGTGAAGGTTACAGATGTCCCCACTGGCATGTTTCTGGTTCGGCCGCAGGTGTGCGTGTTTAAGAAAGGTGTCACATGCGTCGCTGAGCGCGCGGTTGGAGATGTCATTGCCTTCCTCAAAGTCCGCCTTGCAAAGTGGACACTTTTTGTTGCGCTTCAGAGCTCCCTGAAGACACTCCCGACAGAAACTGTGGCTACATGGGAGCAGCACGGGGTCCCGGAAGATGCACAGACACACGGGGCAAGTCAGGTCCTTCTGGAGAGGTACGGGCTCCTCCGACATTTCTTCATCCATACTGTCAGCCATGGCTTCCCCGGGCCCTGTTCAGTTTACTTTCGTTATTGACAAAACTCTGAACTAATGGATAAACAAAGACAAATGAACATTTACTGGGCTCAGTGTGAGACGTGATCCTTTCTACCAATTAGCCGAACTTACTTTAAGAGAGGCTTGGTGAATATTTTAAAATTTTAAATACAGACCAGTTGACTGGAGACTTTTTAGGATCCCCTGGTCCTTAGCCGTCTCTAAACTCCTTCCGTGTTTTAGTGAGAGCAAACCAGACCAGGGTTTAAACAACACTGTCCTCTAGCGGATATGACGCGTTTTTTATTTTTATTTTATTGCAGCCTTTCATAGTAAAACACACACCTTTAAACATAGACATTGTAAAGGGATGTTGAGACTGTACGGAGAGAGAAAAAAAACATTAATAATAAACATGAATATTTAAAATGAAAGGAGAAGAAAAAACTCAGAAGAAGAAAAGCGTGAGGGTCATATAGTGAAGCAGCCAAAACAGTTTCTTTTTAGCCATAATTACTTTAAAACAAAAACTTGAACTTTGAGTTCCTTTTTCCATTTAGCCAATAAGGGGTTTGACGGTAAAAAACAAAAAAAACAAAAAACGATCTGTAAATAAATTGTTTAACCAAATAACTTTCTAAAGGACGTTCAACAGTTTGAGGGTGTAACATGTCTTTTGATTCAAGCCAACTCTGAAACACAAACCATAACTCCTGAAAAGGTTCATACTGGAAAAAAATACAATCAAAATTAACACGAGTTATGTAATTGCAATAATAGCTCAAAGAAGTGATGGGTTATGAGAAGCTGATACAAGTCTCATGTGGATGTGTGTGTCTGAGGTCTCCACTTGTATGGCACTTGCATGTAATTTATAAATAGCCTACTGGACATTTCTTTAGATGTGTTTTATTTACTTTGCACTGATATTACTGTGCATTACAAAGATACAGAGATGTTTTACTGAACTCAGTTTCTGATAAACCCCAATCCTTAAAATATGTGCTGATTATTCGAAATTTAATTTATCACTTCATACTTTGTTGTTGTGGCCAAAGGCAACACATACTTTTATCATTATAACTGACATTGTAGCTATACATCTATGTTATTCATTGTTCTTGTTCTTGTTTTTGCTCTGTTTGTCTCCACCCTCTTTTTCTTTTTTTTTTGCTTCTCTCTCTGTCCAACTTTACAAGCCAACACAGTGTCACAGTTGCCCATACTGCCTATGCCACGGGCCGGCACAGGTCCACCCACAAGGGAAGCACAAGTCCACGGGTCCGTGCCAAATGACATGACAATGTTTTTTCGTGCACCCTTTATCGTGTTTCGCCAGAAGATGCCGGTATAGAGCTCATCTAACGTGAGACTGTTTTATGCATGTTTGGCAGGAGTTGGGGGTGGTAGTAACTAATTATGTAAAATAAGAACCGACAACGCCACCTGGGGGCTTACACCCCAAATACACAATTTATTACTCTTGTAAATAAGTAAGACACAGATTGGGAAAACTGTGTTTTTGTAAGAATTTAAGGAATGTATTTGAATTAATCACAGGAAGAAATGCAAAATAAGGTGAACTGAAACTGTGGGGAAGGAAGAATGGTTAAACAATATAATAATAACACAAAAATTAATAAGGGGAATTAAAATAGATTTTTTTAAATTTTGTAACAGAATCTAAAATGGCCTAAAAGGCAAGTTAAAATACAAATTCGATAAAAATACTAGTGCAGAAAAAACAAACAAATCTGAGCTTAAGCCACTAGTGAAGAGGCAGACTACCCTGAGGAAGGGGTGGGGGTGCAACCATATACCCACCTAGGTGCAGCACAGCAAATCTCACGGCAATCCTCAACAACTTTGGTGCAGTCTCTGTGCCCCAGTGTAGTTTCACTGCCTTCCGAAAACTCGTCTGCCCTCCTCCGCCACAATGAGCAGGTAAGCAGTGTTGTGATGCATCAGGTTGAGAATGGAGCAAGAAACTAGGGCCTTTTTAAATAGGTGAATTAGTTATTTTTTCCTGGCTTCTTTTGTTATATAACTGAATAAAAGCATGAGAATTACATTAGATAAAATAATATTTAGGGGTTAGTTAAACGCATGTTTCCTTCTATGACCGTTGGCACATTCATCTTCTTCTGGACAGTGGAGGAAGGACCAGCTGCTGTTTCTCAGTGGGCAAACACCCTCACTCACACCTGGGAGAAAAGAATGGAAGGACGATTGTGGATCAGAATAAGAAACGCATCAAATTAGATACATTTAGTAAGAAATGGCAAACTAATCTAGTGAATATAAGATAAATCTCACCATCAAGTCCTCCCTGCAGACAGCGACCAGCCCCATTTCCTCCACGAGAAGCACACCAACCACACTGAGGCCTTGCAATGCACTGGGAGCACTGGCTGAGCTGAGAGCACTGCGGGGAGCAGGAGTCCCCCCCAGAGAGCAGGCGGCCACACTGACCCGCCTCACATCGCAGGGGCATGAAAGAGGGGCTCATGCACTAGAAGAAGCGCAGCGACATCAGTTATGAAGAAACATGCTTTGGTACTAAAAGTCACAAATAGTTTGTCAAGTTAAAGCCTGGCAGTGTTACCTGCTGCAAAGCCATGCTCCACACACAGTGCTGCCAGCCCCCATCAGAGCCTCGCGAGCCCAGACAGAGGCTGCAGTTATGGAGACTGTGGCAGGGTGGAGGGCATGGCATTGGGGGGGACGACTCCACCTGCATGGGGGAGACGTTGAGCAAGGCGTAGCTGAAACATGTCCAGTCATAGGTGGGGTTCACACTCAGTATGCGCCTTGTTTCACCTGCAGAAATGACAGCAAGTCCACATTTTCAGTCGGGCGCTTAAAGGCTTTATATGTGATCTTTCACACTTAAATGTAATAGAAATCAAGTATATCCTCTGAAAATAACTACGTGAGAAATGACTGTCTACAATGGGTGTAACACTCGTGTCCCACTGTCTGTGATGCTTTCCGAGTCCTATCTTCAGTTTGTTTACATCGCCGGGACGGCCGGCCGGCTCATCCCCTCGCGTATAAAGTTGTTTAATTGAGGGATAATAGAAAAGAAGAATAACATACTGTACTCACTGCTTAATTGAATGTCACGTAAGCGTTTCCAGATCACGGTCATTTCGGGTAAATTTACATGCAGTGTGAAGATACAAGCATAAAAAAGATCGCTAGGATTAGCATGCTAACACAACAATGCAGCGCAAATTGTTTTGGTTTCATGCTGGTGCTCAAGGGCGACATCTGCTGGATGCATATAAAGCCTTTAACAAGAACAACACAGATTCTGAATCTAGATGCATAAACCCAGCTATTTCATCAGAACTGCATAATAGATCTATCTACTTTCTATCCACCGTACCTGTGCGTTTGAATTGGCGAGTCCACATGCATTTTCCAGATGCTGTACACTTAGGGCAGTCAGAAGCCTCGCAGCTGGTCTCAGTGCAGTTGCTGGACAGGAAGATCTCTCTCTGGTTGATCCGGCAGTCATGTTCAGACGTACAGCTGACAGAGCTGCTGATGCAGGCCCCTTCTGGACAATTTGTGCACCACTTACACTGTAGAGCAGGCTGAGAAATTCAGTGAAGAACAGATTTTAGCTGACAAACAGTAGTAGGTTTACTGGGACTTTTTCTGAGCTTTGTTAGAGTAGGGGTGTTGTGGGTTACCTGAGTTGGATTGGAGAATGTTTTAGGGTGTCTGGCGAGGCATTCACTGCAGGTCTTAAGTCTGCGGCACTGGTCTGGCTGACGAGGGGTCGGAGAGCAAGGAAACTGGCCAGTGAAACAGCCCATTCTAAAAGATAGCAACAGATGCTTTTTTTTTAATTGCTGCAATAACCATCGACAAAAGAGTGCTATTTTTCTTTACTTCAGAAAATACATTACCTCTCAGCAGTATCAGAAGATGCACAGGTTCCCCTGCACCAGAGGCAGCTGCCTGTAGTGGCGTTGCAGGCCTCCGGTGTTTGCATGAGGGCACAGGGGTCAGAGGGAACAGTCAGGGTTAGGAGTCTGCCCAGCGTGACGCCATTGAAGCCTCCTGACAGAAAGAGACGACCCCCCCAGCTCGTCATGGCAAGAGACAAAGAACGATTTACTGGATCTCCTATCGCTGAGGCTGATGGAAAGAGAGGAAAAGTGGTTTGATTATAAAATGGCAAGCTTTAATGTGATCATATAAATATGCCAAAATGACATTTAGACAGTCACCTGGTTGTATCCAGGTGTTACAGTTGATTTGGTACAGAGACACTGAGTTACTGTAGTCTTCGGCTTCTGTCCTTCCCCCAACAATGACCATGGTGTCTTTGATCAGCGCTGCAGCGTGGAAGAAACGGGACAGGGGCTGCATAGCATAGAGGTATAGCATAGAAACACAAGTTAAACTTTATGTATAAGTAGGGGATACATGCTTGGCTTCGTATATAAAGGCCTGTAATGAGGGTTGAGATTGGACGTGAATGATATCTGACCTTGTTTCCCCGTGAGGGGACCAGCAGAGACCAGGTAAGGTTGGGGTAGTACAGACTGTACAGCTCTCCTGAGGGCTCCACAGTCTCTACATGAAAGCGGTAGCCTCCAAAGACATAGATGGCATCAGTCTGCTCATGGTACACTGCTGAGTGGCCATACAAACCTAAAGGAAATTTAAGGTAAAAACAAGGTTAAAGAAGAAAGGAAAAATTGTGCTCTTTGCAACTGTCTTGTTTTGTCTGTTAAACATTTTGGATATGTAATACTGCATTTCTGCATGAGGCAGATTATTAAAAGAACCTGTAGGGGGTGTGCCAGTATGGGGGGCTATGGTCCAGTTTCCAGAATGAGGGCTGAACTCCAGAAGGTGGTGGTTGAAGCCGTTCTCTGGAGAGTAACCTCCAATCAGCAGCACAGAGGAGTCTCTGCGTACAGTTAAAGTGTGGCCAGCCATAGGTGGAAGAAGTGCGCTCTGCCAAAGATGGAGAACATTTTAAATTGTTAGAGATAAAAAAAAAGAAAAGAAAAGAAACAAAGACAGAAAACAGGTTTATTCAGATAGGTTGTCCTCTACTAAATCAAGTCCAAACCTTGTGTTCTCTCCACACTAAACTGCTGAGATTGAGACTCCACGTATCCATGGCAACACCATTTTGAGTCACACCACCCACCACCAACATGAAGTTGTGACTGGCTAAGATGCTTCCTGAGCCAGATTCATGACTAGTCAGCATTGCAGAGGCATGGTGATAGCGAGGTCCTGGAGTGGAGCCTTCTTCCACAGAGCTTGTCAACATCTGCGTCCATCGGTGCTCTGACACAGAATATCTAAACCAAGCAGGGACAAAAGTCTTCAGTTTGTGTATATAGATAGTGCATGCATTATAAAATCACCTAAAATGTGCCTCTACCTGGAGACATTTCCCAGAATGCCCTCTGCCAGAGAGAGCCCTCCGTACATCCATAGGTAGCCCTGTGGTCCAGACACCAGAGTGTGGCCCATCCTGTGGAGGAACCTGTGGGCCTGGTTCTGTGGAACAGAGTTGCACATGAATGTGTGTATAATTCAGAAGTTGTGCAAACTGAAGCTGGTTTTCCTACTGTTTCGGTTATGTTCTGCCCTTACCACGGTCAGTTGCGTGTCCAGAAGTGTTTCCCATACCAAGCTGTTGGAGTCCCGAGGAACAGAGCAGTCCGAGCCGGCCCAGCTGTCTGTGCACACACACACTCCCAGAGACTGGCAAAAAAAACAACAAAACATGGTGGTTAGAAAACTAACAAAATGTGTTCTCCCCACTTTGAGTATTTCAAAACTGTTGTCTTTTGAAATGTAATATCAGTAAATAGGTAAAATGACTATTGTCAGTAAGACAAGATGTTTTCAAGCTGTCATTTTATGAATAACATATTAACATGGTTGACGTAATCTATGGTTGACGTAAACAACTACAAAATAATATATATAATCTGTCATTTATAGTGCTGTGTTACAATTTACTTGCTTTATTCATTCCCAAAATGTTCTACCCTAAGATATAAGGGATACTTGTGCCAAAAGGTCAACATGAAATAAAAACAAATCTTACTGTATTACATGCCCCTCTCCCTTCTGCTATTCCACAATTCTGAGGACACATGGGCCGGTCGCAGTGCGGTCCAGCATATCCCTGAGGACACTGACAGAGGCCGCCTTGGCACTGGGCTCCACCTGGACACACAGGTGATCCGTCTTCACCGTCATCTGAGCTGTGGTGACAACGCCGCACCCAGAAAGATGCATTGAAGCCCTGAGGTTTGTTTGAGGTGACGTTGGCCTCAAAGTAAACTGAGATCACACCTGGTGGTGGAAGGGAAAATACAATATGGTAAAAACTAAATTGTGTCTTTTAACACTTCAGGATTGCTATCTAAGTCTGTATGAAGAAAGGATAGCACAATTCCTCGCCTCAAGTGAAGCCCACAGATTTAGAGCTCCCTCTACTGACTGGCTGCAGTAAAGGTCATAATGTTAACAGATGGAAAATGAGTTAAACTATCAAATCAAAATGCACATCACACCCATTTACCTCATGTCATTAGAGAAAATTAAGAGTTTGTGTAACATCTTAAGAAGGTTGACTGTAACTGACTTCCTAAGGTAACATAATCTATTGGATTGTTTGTTGTTTATGTGCTGTGAAGGATGTACGGTAGCCCAAAAAGACCAATTTAATCACATTTTATTACTCAGCTCTTGCAGTCTGGCTGGAATGGACTCATGTCAAAGCAGAACTTTCTAGCTAAAATTGTTTATGACTCAATGATGATCGATGGATACCTGAGGTGGCCTCTACAGTGATAGGCTGAGTCCTTGTGGTGCCACAAAATGCCCCAATCAGGTTGTGATCGGAATGTACAACGCCGTTGCTGAGGAAACGAGGAAGGCCATCAAACACATAGACATAGGAGCTCTACAAAACAAAACAGCAATAGAGGGAGTTAAACAGAGACAAAACTGACCTTTATGATGCTATAGCAGTTAACATGATCAATTGAGTGTGGGCGTTGGCGTGTGTGTACAAGGGTCAAGTTTGTACTCACTTCACAACGGGTGTGGGAGTCTGGATGTAGTGTGAGAGCTATCGGGGGACACAGTTGTCTGGGCAGACAAGGTGCCAGGTTCTCAGTCACAGAGAGGACCCACAGGCAATGAGAAAGTCCTCCTTTACCTTCTGTGCCACTTCGCCATCCCAGAGAAGAGGACAGAGGAATGGCATTGGTAGAGGTGGAGGAGAGCAGTACCGAACGGCCCTGACACTGCCGGTAACATGTGCCATTGTTCCTTTTAGACAGACAAAGATAAACAAGTCATGATGAGGAAAATTTTAATAAAGATAAAAAACAAAAACAAATCATTTTTTAAAAATGTCTAAATGTTCTTACCTAGGGTCTCCATAGTAGCCAGGCAGGCAAGACTCGCAGTGTGGTCCATGAGTATTGTGGGTACAGTAGCACTGGCCTGTAAGGTTGTGACAGTATCCTCGTAGAGGGTCGCCGTGGCCGTTACACTCACACTGCACACACCCCCCTCCACCAGACAGGGCTAAACCAAAGCTACCGGGCCTGCAGTGCTCACAGTGGGGGCCTGTAGTCCAATCTGAAAGACAGAGGAAGGATGTCAGCAAGAGCCAAAACTTGTGTATGACTCCACCACCTTAGTCGGGATCAGTACGAGTTAAATAACTAAGACGCATGGAGAAGATACTGAAAAGAACCACACATTAAGTTCTCACCCTGGCATTCGTCACAGATCCCTGGTGCTGTAATGCAGGTGGAATGGAAGTTGCATCCGCAATCCACATCACACTCAACACCACTGAGAACCAGAGTAGCAGGGTCAGATGTCCACCCCAGTGAGCATTCACACTCAAACCGTGGGCTACCACTGCACTGGCCCTCACGACACTCATTGTAGCACCTGTAGGATAAACATGGGAAAAACAAAGACTGTATAAAACATGAATGTAGTCTCAGTGACCCATGGATGTAGTGGCGTTATGAAGCGCAAGGATGGCAGTTGCGGAATTGGAAATACTATCTTCCCATAGATTGATCTAGAAACAGGCAAAAAGGTAGAGCTGAGGCGGGCCTTAAGTCTCCTCGCAAACAGCTACAACTCCCCCACCTGTAACTTTATGAAAGCCACATCCCGTATTATGAAAATGTATGCATAACTTTAAGTCTTAATATAATCAAAACAGATGCGGTATCGCTAAATTCAACCCCCTCACTAACTGAGCTACTGAGACTCAAACTGTCTCATGTACTAGCCTGTAGTCGTGTTTATTTTTGCTGTAAAAGTGGACATTTTAATATCAGACCTAAGGGGGAGTCCTTGCTTTTTGCTGCCAGCCTCTAGTGGACACTCAAGGAAATGCAGAATTTTGCACTTCCATAATGGCTTCATTTTTCAACAGCGTAGGTTGCCGTTTGGAGGAGAATGATTGAAGGTGGAGTACAAACATCATTATTTTCAAGATCAAGATAAAAGCAACCCTGGTGGCTAAAGAGCAACTTTGAGGATGAATCAACAGAGATCCTTACGTCTGGTTACAGTGCAGAGTGCCATCCCCCGTGTATCCTCTCTCGCAGTGGCACTCATAGGAGGTGGGAGTGTTGATACAGGTGGCGTAGGGGTGACAGTTGTGGAGGCCCAGCCTGCATTCCTCTACATCAGGGCAGGTGGGGTAGGACCAGATGGCGTCTTGCTCCTCGTCTTCCAAGTGCTCCAGCTCCATCTCCATGTCCAGGGGTCGAGGCGGGGCCGAGGTCTGGGGCTCAGGGCTGGACGAGCAGGACAATGATTAGAAGGCTGATAGGGATGCACTAGCCATTTATCATGTCAAAGCTATGTATGTAGATGTAGAAGATCTGTTTAAGCTGGCAGGCATTCTACTGTATCTGCAGGTTATGAAACTCTCTATCATTAAGAAATGCATCTATTATTATCATGCATTTTAAAAGCTATTACCAATAACATTTTATTTTTTTTCTGACAAAACATTGACTGGAATATGTGGATTTTATTTATTTATGAATCCTGTAAATGTTAATTATAATACTTAAACATGTGAGGGCATCTTTGAAAGAGGCAGTAATTGCTTTAGCTAATTGTAATATCTAAAAGTGGATCATCTCCAAAAAGAAATTCTACTGGTCAGAAACAACCCACTCACAATATTTAGTGTATGATTGTTCATATTTTAATATATTTGGTTTTAAGATGACCGGGTACCGCATCACGTCACAGAAGCGTTAGAAGAGATTTCTTACTTTGCAGCCCGAGCTTCAGCAACAGCAACACTACAGTTATAAACCAACGAGTCGTCCATTCCTGCCCAGTCTCCCCTCAAACATCTGAAAGAGATGGAAGGAAAAGTTCAATAAAACAATAAAGAATACAACAATACAAAACTACAGTTATTTGATCATTTATTTGATAGAACAGAGATTATGTTACAAGTTATACAAATCAGATGTGTTTGTACTGTATGTATGTGTTTCTCTGTAAAGTAATATATTTGCCGTACTTACTTTCCAATAGTGGGTTGTTATAATCACCGCACCAGCCACACTGGAACGTCCGCAGGCAGTCTGTGCACGTGCTTAGAGCTGAACATTGCTTACACTGGGGAACCGAATGAACACTGACGAGTAAAAGAATAAAGGAGAATATAAAATGATTGATCAAAAGTTAATTTCAACTCACTGGCAGAGGAAATAATAATAATTAATTACAAACCGTATACTTATAATTAAGTCAGGTCTTTGTTTCATATTTGTTTAAGAAACATGAGTCTTATAATATATATGTTTTTAAGCTGTGATCAGGATAAGGTAACTGTATGTACAACTGTCAAAATGATTATAGTACCTATACATATAAAAAGGAAAAGGCTTAAAAATCTCCTTATTTTTTACCTGTCGTACCAGTCCCTGCACTCTCCGTAGGGGTATTTTGTGAGGTAGGCAGCGAAATAGAAGCAGGCCTGGCAGACTCACACCATGCACACTGGCTGGAGTTAGAAAGGCACTCACCACAAGTCTTTCTCCTATGCAGCACAAACAGATGACAAAAGACATTAGACTTGGGTCGGCTGTAGGTTCTTGTTGAAATGATTTCAAATCTGAGTTTTTGTTTGAAAAATATTGTTTTTCAGCTCACTGGTTGCAGACTTTAGGACACCCTCCTGGGTCACGTATGGAACCATCTAGTCTTCCTCGACGACTACACTGGTAGTCTCCTTTCTTGCTGGAGTTTATCTGCCACTCACAATAAGGGTCCTGGTAGGGACAAATACAGATTTGTATTAATCATAATACCAGCTTACTCTAAATGGAACTGTAATATATGTTACAGATACATATATATTTGTATACACATTTTGAGGTGTTCTGTGAGATGTACCTGGGTACAAGCAGAGCAGTCTCTGTATTCTTCACACAAGGTGCAGTGTTGCGGTGCCAACAGCAGATGGCGTTGACTCTCTCCATTGCCTTCCCCCTTCTCTCCCTCAGGGCAGAGCACCAGGTCTGGGCTGTCCCGCAGTAGTTTGTATAGAGGTGCAAAGAGAGTTTGACAAAGACAAAGTAAAAAAAATAAATAAAAAAAAGTAAGGTCAAAGTGGCGTCAAATAAGTACTTCTTATCTTAAAAATTAGTGATTTGAAATGATAAAAAAGCTATTGCAATGTATTTCTACATTGCATTGCACATTTTAATTGATGTGCACTTTCCCTTACCAGTTGACTCGAGTTAGGCCCTGTCGCCATTCGGGCCTCAAAGTGGAGCCTCTGAATGCGAGCCCACATGGAGACAGTGTCTATGGGAGGAGGTGCAGGCGGAGGGGCGCCCCACAGCGGGTGGATGAAGCCCCTGAACTGTAAGGCTACGTCCATTTCTGTGGTGGGACTGAGGATGATGGTGGTGCTGCGGAGGATGGACACCTGGCGAGAGGGTGAGAGGATGGGATAATGGAGAATGGACAGAAGTGGAGACACATACAGAAGACAACTGCTGCACAAGTGACAGACTACACAACGAAGTAAAGCAGAAAGCGAAAACAACAGTGAGCACTGGAGTCAAGGTGTTAGATAGCCAGAAGCACAAGGTAGAAAATAACAACAAAATAGGAAAAACAATAATATTCAAAAGGGATAACTACAGTAGATTGTACAGCATGTTGGAGGGAGGAAGGAGGATAAGTATTAGCAGAGAGGGGATCAGGTACAACCACAGCTAGCACAGTTAGCACTTGAGATTTGACTCCGTACCTTGTCAGGCTGGGAGTCGTTGCGCGGGTGCTGGAAGGTGAGCAGGTGCAGTCCCGGGACATAGTTCTCGGTGCGACAGGAGTGGAGGGAGGTTAGGAAAAGGGTACGCTCCCCCACCAGCCGTACGCGCCTGAGATCTGGTCCACACGGCACGCACTTCGCTCTGTGAGAGCGAGAGGGAGAGGTCAGCAAACAAAGAACACATCTGACCTCTTTAAATCTCATCATACAGCAGTATCCTGACGTTTACTACTGTACTGAAAGGGGCCTGATCTTTGACTTTTGTGTGACGTTTTCTCAAAAAGAGTAAAACCCCATGACCTAACTGCACCAAAGGAAAGATGGGATTGGACAAGCAAGTCAAACCACGGTCTGAGTAGCTTTTCCAGTCTCAGCAGGGTGAAGTGAAGTCAATGTTGTTCTGTTTTTGAGAGACCCCAAACAAGAGTCTAGTCCCTCCCATGTCAGCACCAAACATATTTTTTTTAAACCCTTCTCCCTTCTCTTGCGCCCTCCTTCCTCCCTCCCTGGGTCTCACCTGACACTGGCAGGCAGGACTCATTCTGGCTGCCAGAGGCTGGAGTGCCACTGAACACCAGACAGGACTGGCAATCAGACAGGAAACGCGCCAGGCCCAGGCAACCAGTGCTGCCACACTTCGAAAAAACAAAACAAGGGCGTATAAATTCCAAAAGAAAATCCCAGATGTGTCATAAAGTAGGAATGCATAACAAGTGAATGACCAAATGGTGCAAAGTGAAGTGTTACCGGATAAGTGGGCTGGGACTCTCGACAGCGGCCTTCACACCAGCTGCACTCAGGATTTTTTAGGCACATACTTTCATCAAGCGCCTCAGCACAAACAGCATCCTGGTAAAAAAACACACATATAGGTACTGTATTACAATGCATTATTCCCTCTCTCATCTTCTATTCTCTTTCGCCTGCAGAGCATATGTACATTTGCCCATCTTTCCAATATGACTTTTTGTTGTCTTGTATTTTCACTCACCCTGTCCCCTTGATCACTACTGACAAACTGTGGTACTTTGTAAGCCACCAGGTCTCCACGGGCAACACCACTGTAACCCCGGCAACCAGCAGCACTTGTCCCTCCATCACAGCAGCAACATGCGAGTAACGCCCTCTCACAGCATCGCCTCCTAATACAAAAGGAAACTTTTTTTTTAATCCTCGTAATTGCAGATGTTCAGATACAACCACATAGAAAATGATCTGTGGATGAAAACTAGAGTGTGTGTGTGTGTGAATTTAAACTCACTGAGTGACCATCTCTCCCCAGCAGACACCCACTGGTGACAGCCCAGGTGGTAAAAGAAGATCTCCTCATCATAGCACTTCTCCTCTTGGTAGTGAATATGGACATTACCTCCTTTGAGAGACATGCATGAAAACAAAAGATCAGTATGCACAGAAAAGGACTGATGAAAGCGGATGATGTATTTTCTACATTTCTCGGTGCTCACCATAGACCACCATGTAGTTGCCAATGACGGTGGCTGAGTGAAAAGCTCTCTCTCTGGGGCCTGTTGCCGGGAAACGGGAACGGAAGGAGGTCCAAAAGCGTCTGTCCACATGGAACACATCAGTGTTGTTCACCCTCACACTGAATCTAAGAAGAAGGAAAAAAGCCAGTGTATTTTAGTATCTATATGGATGTCCATTACTTTAAAGTATTCGTCAGATTATTCTCAGTATGTATTTACTTTCAAACAATTTCTACCTTTGCTATTCATATCTGTATCTTTAAATACAGTTCTTAAAATAAGCAAATATTCTGACGAGGCAATTGTTTGTTTTCTTTTCTAGTTGGACAAAAGGGATACAACTCAACTCTACGTGTGCAGCCAAGAATGGACAAAAGTGTTTGATCTGCAGACCCAACAAAAATCAACTCACAAGAAGATAAATAATAATATAAATTAATATGACAATTTAAATGCAAAATATCCCTTTTCCTTTTTTCCTTTCATTCAAAACTTTTGAAACAAATCTTAAGTCAGGTAAATTACATGTGCACAGACGGGAAAATCGTTTTAAATGAAACAAAGGTGCAGTCGGTATTTCTGGCATTGAAGCACAGAAAGATTTGATTTCAATCATGTCTTTGAAAAGTTCAGTCCTAAAAACTGGCTTCACCAGCCTCAATCCTTAAAGCACCGCTGCACATAATAATCTTGGTGTCTCTTGCACTTGTTTAGTGGGTTTCAAATCCGCTTCCCAGCGTATGTTTTAATGTTTGGTGTCCTCAAGCTTTGCAGCTTGTTATCATTTCATGTGCTGAGTCGTGTTGGTTGTGCCATCTATATCAGTCTCTTGCCATATTTACAAACTGTTTTCTTGTCTTGCATTAGCAACTGACCAAAAATTCTACAATCCCTCTTTGTAACAAATCGATTCTAAACCTCAAAATCTCCACTTGCTTCCGCCTTCTCCTCCCTCGTCGTAGAGTAGACCCATCCAACAGAGGGTGTGTACCTGGCAGTAGTCGGTCGATGGCCTCCATACACCAGCAGAGTCCTGGATGGGCTGTGGAAAACCATGGAGTGTCCTGCAGTGGCCGGGGGCTTCCCACCAGTGGGCTGAACGGGCTCCCAACGTCCAGAGCCGTGCAGGCCGAACCGATACAGAGAGGAGGAAAACATATCCTCCTCAGTGCGACCTGGGAAATAAAAAGAGAGAAAAAAAAACATTCCATTTCATGTTGATTTATTTCTCAATTGATAAACGTACAAAAAACAAAACTTAAACCCCCACCTCCAAATACGTAGAGATAACTGTCCACTACAGCTGCAGCGTGATTGGCCAATTTGGGAGCACCAAGTGAATTTGAAAAGCCAAGTTGTTGCCAGTCGTCATGGAGTGGACGGTACATCCACACATCACTAGCCAAAGAACCATTTGCCAGCTCTCCTCCAAAGATCACCATGTTGCCCGTCCACTCTACAGCAGAGTGAGAGTGGCGAGCCACCTGAGAAAAAAGGAGAGGGCAACAGTGATTAAACATGAGCACTTTTATCTTTCATTGATTGTGTTAACACATGCACAAAAGATAGGCTGAAGCCCGCAATGCGATAACCTGTTCAATATTGAAATAACATTTACACACTAAGTTAGAAATCCAATTATTTCATGCCAAATTATCTTCACATCCGACATATCCGACATATTTTGGGTATACACACACTCAAAAAACTTAAACACATGATATACATTCATATCTGTTTTATACAAATGAGTTGCTGGTAAGCCTCGGAAACCCACTTCTGCTTGTACAGGACATCAAAGGAAAGGAGCGCTGCATGGGTACTCAATCAAGCTGAACAGCAAACAGCTGCTCTTTGGGGAGGAACAGAGTGCCTTGGATATCTTTTTGTGTTTGCCTATTTTATTCTTCAGACTCAAGATCTTTTCCACTCAAGTGATAAACAAATCAAGCCCATTTTTTCAACCCACTCCCACTTGTGTTTACTTGCAAAAACTAAATGTAAGTTTTTACACAATAAATGAGGTTTCTTTATACCTTGTCACAACACTTAAAAAAAAAAGGTTACCTGTTTACATTGAGGGGAAAAAAAGGAGTGTATGTGTGTGTGTCACTTACAGGAGAATGACCATAAGACCGGCTGTCCCACTGGTTGGATGTGAAGTTATATTTTATCAGGTCACCTAGAGCTCTGTTCAGGTCAAACCCTGGGAGAAAAGAAGTTCATTCATTAACATACGCTGATATTATTAATCATTATAACACTATTAGACAGTAGGTAACACTACAGTGAACTGGGAGACCACAGCTAAAAAGATTAAAGATAAAATGTGACACTAATCTAATCTACTTAATAAAGCATGTTCGAAGTTTGAATCTAATGATCACACCATTGAGGTATTACTTGCTTACAATAATTACCATATGTTATATATTGAGGCGAAATGTGGATTGGTAGATTTAATAATAAAAACGAGATCCGTGTTAATAGTGAGAAGCTCTTACCTCCAAACAAGTACATGGCTCCAGTGGATGACAGGTACACACCAGCAGAACCTGTCCTGGGAGGTGTGTAGGGGTTGCCCTCGCTCACACGCCACCACTGCCCAGCCCCACTATCGTCATGGAAACCAAGTTGGCAGCTTTGACCCAAGAAGCCTGGGTTACACTGACAACGCTCTCCTTTCTGTTGCAAAACACAGAGAATAAGATACAGTTAAATACCAATGAATGTTACAAATGCTGCACAATTGATGGACATAATAAAAGGGTTATTCAGGGAAGGACGAGTGACATATTGACTGTCTGTTTTTCAAGGCTTATTTGACCTTTGCCTTCCCCCAGTCTTACCTTGTCACACTGGCCATTCACAGAACAGGCCTGGGAGCACAGAGGGGTTGTACAAGCAGTTCCCCCCCAACCCTGATGACAGTGGCACTTTAATGTAGAGGGATCACAGCGGCCATGACCGCCACATGCACCAGGGCACAGAGAAAAGGTGTAGGTCGCATTAAAGCCCAGCAGGTTGTAATTAGCATCACTGAAGAGGTGAAGCAGCATCTGAAGAAGAAAATGCACAGACAGACACAAAATGAGCATTTTCTATCGTTTAAATGCAATACAAAGATGTCATGACATTTATTCCTGATTACGTTACCTTTCCAGACTTGGCCTCGATAGGTTGAGGCAGAGTGTTTCCGCTCAGACTAGCTTGGAGAGGGCTCTGGTAGGAGTCTCCATCATACACAAAAAGGTAGTCATAGGTACACTCTGTGTCCATGAAGGTGAAATTTAGGACAATGCGGTGACTGTTGCTGGGAGCTAAAAGATAAAAACAAGTGGAAAAAGAAAAGTGTAACAGCCTGCAAGTTTGATTTTTTCTTTTTTACATACATGTTCCTGTTGACATGCTAGATTCATAGTTTATTATACCTTTGATAAGCCACTCGCAGTTCCCATTGACAGAGTAGTTTCCTGGCCCATCTGTGACATAGCCTGGTGGTCCCCTCAACACCTGTCTGTGGCCCTTGCAGTCCCCTGCCTGACACACTGGTGACTCAGCCAACAGCAGAACCACCAGGATGAAGCACACAGGGAGGGGGAAGGCCATTACTGGCACAGCCTGTTTGTTTGGAAGATAAAGCCAATCATTTAGTTCAGGTCTTAATAAACGTATCACCAACAAAAACGTGCAGCGTAGTTGTAACGCAAATGTAGACAGAGCCAAACAATTCAGAAAAGGCAAGCATCTGAAAAAAAAAAAAAGTTACAAACAGGTTAAGTGGATTATTTATAAGGAAAACAAATTCTTGTGGTTCTTGCATTCCCTAACCATGACCAAGTTATCTCTGTCTGTTGGGTATCGTGCACTTTGGGTTATTTTCTGATGAATTGTATTTAATTATTTTTAGTATTTTGCATTTGTTGAAAAATAATGTTGTTAATGTTCTTCTGTGTTTGGTTTAGTTTGTTCTTGTTTGTCAAAGCACTTTGGAAACCTGTCTTTTTTTTTTTTAAAAGGTGCTATATATATATAAAGTTATTATTATTATTATCTCTTTACTGACTGATTTCCCTCAGGAATCGAGCTGAAATATGCATGACCCTAATGTTATCTCCTCTGCTCTCTGTTCTGTTGAATTAAACAAATCTAAAGTGACTATTTTAAGGGTGATTTGTTTGATATTGTGCATTTCGAGATGTGTGGAGAATACACTGCTCTGATGAAGCTACCTCTTAGCCCTACAGTAAACCACTGCACCAATCACACAAGACGGGCCAAATAAAAACTGATAGACCACAGCATTGGATTTAGACATCAACATCAACAACTAAGTAATGCATGTCTTAAAAATATAGAGTGTAATGAATAAGTCAGTTATAGTATAACTGTGGAGGAAAATTGTGTAACTACAGGAATTTGTAGCCTCACTGTGTAGTCCGAGTCTTTTGTTTTGGTTCATAGATCAAATCAAGTTTTCTTTTATTTCCAGCGTTAGCATTTATTCTGAAAGGAATACATCCCCCCCCCCCCCAGGTGAAAACACTTGAACACCCTGAAGACACTCCCGACAGAAACTGTGGCTACATGGGAGCAGCACGGGGTCCCGGAAGATGCACAGACACACGGGGCAAGTCAGGTCCTTCTGGAGAGGTACGGGCTCCTCCGACATTTCTTCATCCATACTGTCAGCCATGGCTTCCCCGGGCCCTGTTCAGTTTACTTTCGTTATTGACAAAACGCTGAACTAATGGATAAACAAAGACAAATGTACATTTACTGGGCTCAGTGTGAGACGTGATCCTTTCTACCAATTAGCCGAACTTACTTAAAGAGAAAACGTAGTATCACGGACAGCTTTAAAAGTAGAAATGGATGACAGCACGAAACCATAGATTGTAAATATTTTACGAAACCAATCCCCCCCTTGTCCTCTTCTCCGAAGGCTCTCTGGTGGGCTGTACTTAGAGAAGTGTCACGCTTACCTCAGCACACAGGGGGGGGGGGTTTCCTTTCATTATTTAAAATGAAAGGAGAATAAAAAACTCAGAAGAAGAAAAGCGTGAGGGTCATATCGTGAAGCAGCCAAAACAGTTTCTTTTTAGCCATAATTACTTTTAAAAAAAAACTTGAACTTTGAGTTCCTTTTTCCATTTAGCCAATAAGGGGTTTGACGGTAAAAAAAACAAAAAACGATCTGTAAATAAATTGTTTAACCAAATAACTTTCTAAAGGACGTTCAACAGTTTGAGGGTGTAACAACATGTCTTTTGATTCAAGCCAACTCTGAAACACAAACCATAACTCCTGAAAAGGTTCATACTGGAAAAAAATACAATCAAAATTAACACGAGTTATGTAATTGCAATAATAGCTCAAAGAAGTGATGGGTTATGAGAAGCTGATACAAGTCTCATGTGGATGTGTGTGTCTGAGGTCTCCACTTGTATGGCACTTGCATGTAATTTATAAATAGCCTACTGGACATTTCTTTAGATGTGTTTTATTTACTTTGCACTGATATTACTGTGCATTACAAAGATACAGAGATGTTTTACTGAACTCAGTTTCTGATAAACCCCAATCCTTAAAATATGTGCTGATTATTCGAAATTTAATTTATCACTTCATACTTTGTTGTTGTGGCCAAAGGCAACACATACTTTTATCATTATAACTGACATTGTCGCTATACATCTATGTTATTCATTGTTCTTGTTTTTGCTCTGTTTGTCTCCACCCTCTTTTTCTTTTTTTTTGCTTCTCCCTCTGTCCAACTTTACAAGCCAACACAGTGTCACAGTTGCCCATACTGCCTATGCCACGGGCCGGCACAGGTCCACCCACAAGGGAAGCACAAGTCCACGGGTCCGTGCCAAATGACATGACAATTTTTTTCGTGCACCCTTTATCGTGTTTCGCCAGAAGATGCCGGTATAGAGCTCATCTAACGTGAGACTGTTTTATGCATGTTTGGCAGGAGTTGGGGTGGTAGTAACTAATTATGTAAAATAAGAACCGACAACGCCACCTGGGGGCTTACACCCCAAATACACTATTTATTACTCTTGTAAATAAGTAAGACACAGATTGGGAAAACTGATGAGCAGAGACGTGTTTTTGTAAGAATTTAAGGAATGTATTTGAATTAATCACAGGAAGAAATGCAAAATAAGGTGAACTGAAACTGTGGGGAAGGAAGAATGGTTAAACAATATAATAATAACACAAAAATTAATAAGGGGAATTAAAATAGATTTTTTTAAATTTTGTAACAGAATCTAAAATGGCCTAAAAGGCAAGTTAAAATACAAATTCGATAAAAATACTAGTGC